TAAATGCTTTACAAAATGAGTTATACCAATATATCTAATACGTGAAAAAGAAATGTAAAAACAGAATGCAATAGACTGTAAAAAGAAATAGTCCATAGAAATTAAACGTAATGTATGTTAAAGGCTTCATGAATATGGGGAAGCTTGGATTGAGAGCTGAAAACATGGACGGGGAGGGTTGTAGAAGGTGAGTGAAGAGGATGGACTGCCTAGGATAGTTGCATTTGAGAAGCCTCCCAGGACCATGCAATTTGTTTATTTCATTGAATATCAGTTAGGAGCTTGTGCAGCGTGGAACAGATGCGTTCCAGCAATTTTTCTTGTAGACACACATAAGCACTGAAATGCTAATTTGTTCTCTGGTTTATACTGTAGAATGTAATTTGCCATAACCATATAACCATTTGACTCTCAGTAGGGAAGTGTAAACCCTATGTACTTACTAATGGATCAACTTTGCTCATAATTGACCACTAAAAACACCATTTCTCTTTTATGGACAACTATTTTTTTGTTTATCATCATTTACATATATCCATCTATTTCAGATTCTAAAATAGGTGCAAAAGCTGCTTTGCCCAATGTTTATTTGATTCTGACTGTGCTATTTACCAGCTATTGAACCACAGACCAAATCAACTCCCTGTGTCTTATCTTTTCTCTAAAAAATGGAGATAATGATAACTCCTTCCTTTTTTATTACTGTAAGGATTGAGACAATTCTTTTAAATTTGTTAATATAGTGCCTGGATTATAGCAATCACTCAGAAAATGGTATCTGTTAGTATATATGATGCAAATTCTAATAGCATTTGCTCTAAATCTACTGTAGGTGACATTTTGTACAAACTCTCTAATCTATAACTAGTACACACAAGCACGATACTAATAAACCAAGTCTCCCTAAAGCAACATCTCATCAAAGATATTCTCAATAGTCTGTCATATTGAAGGTGGATTCTTGTTAGAATGAGCAACTAGAAAATTGTGAAAATGCCTAAAAATATTGTACTGAATAGGATCTCACAGCATCTTTTGTGAATTTGTTGGAGTACAAAGTTTCTAGACTTATTGATCTTTAAATCTGGACTGGCTACTGTCTACTCACTATGTGTGAAAAAGTGAATTCTGATAAGATGATTCTGAGGATGTGAAAAGTAAACCAGAGGGACTGAGAACTTTGTGTGGTTTAACATAACTTTCTTACCTTATTAATTGTGACTTCAAAATAAAGATATACAGGAAGAGAATATAAACAAATACTATTCATAATGTTGGAGAGAGGGAAAGATTTTATAAGCAGGACAGGAAAAACAGAAACTTAATAGAAAATATTGGCAGGCTAATATACCTAAAAATGAAAACTTCAAATTAAACGTGTAATTATATATATAATTATTCTATCTAACATATAACTAGTTCCTATAAATACATATATTTATTATATATAAATACATATGTATTTAATATCAATTACATATAATTTTACATATAATTATAAATATGTTATTAAAGAAAAAAAGACTAGTTTTTATCTTACCTTGGTCAAAATCTAAACCTGGTGTTTATGAAGATTCAGTTTGTAAAGGCTGCTGAATCTTATAGGCATGGGTATTATGCTTTAACTATATTTATTATTTTTAGGTCACTCAGCCTGGAAAAGAAATCTCCAGAAATATGTTTATTATATGATATATAATTATATATTATATAAATTATATAACTACACTTATATAATTATACATTATTAAAATATAAATATACGTAATATATTATATATAATAAATATACATATATAAATATAAATATATATATAGGAACTATTTATATATTACATGAAATAATCCTGGCATGCATATATTTATTTATTTATTTATTTATTACATAAAATAATTGTGGCTTTGAGATACATATATTTTATATGTCAGGATTATTTTTATGTAATTTATAGTTTCCATAAATCAGTAAACAATACAAAAATGAACCATAGATAATTTATAGAAAAAATTACAGTGATTAATCAATATAAGAAAAGATATTTAATGTTACTAATAACAAAAACTCAAAATATTATGAGATATACTGCTTTTTAAATAGGTAAGACTTAAAAAGAATAATAAAATCCAGTGCTATAGGAAATGGCTTTTGAAAATCTTGTCTGTTTTCCTCTCTTCATTCCTAAGCTAAAGTTTTGTATTTGCTACAGAGTCCCAGTAAAGGTAGAAATGGGGCAATAAAGAATATACAAATTGTGTCATTTTTTTTTAAAGTAATGTCTTATTAGGGATTTTTAAAATCTCGTAAAGATGTTACCTAATAATGCTCTGAAGTCATAGACTGAGTAAAGAGATGATGGAAGTTACTGTAAAAATTTTCTAATAAAAATTTTAAAAACATCTTTTTTTCTTTTTTACAAAGTGAACATTATTTTTTCTCATTGAATGCATATTTTATTATTGTTTAACAAACAAAAATCAAACACTACAGAATAATTTAGAGAAAAAAAATCTTCACTCCCAGCACCCAGAGATAAACTTCAATCTTTCTCACCTTTTATCTTTTCAAATATAATGTACTTATATCTCTAAATAAATAAAACTCATTTGTTTTATATTATTTTATAACCAGTCTTTTATTTAACAATTCACTGTGAAAGTTTTAAATGTCCATAACCATAGGTTTTCATAATTTTTGATGGTTGCATAGCATCCCATTATATGACCATAGCTCAACTTATTGACCTAAACTTCTATTGATGAATGTTTGAATTTATTCTCTGAAAATTAGACCTGACAGCCTTCCAAGGAAGTGAGCACTCCTTTAGTGAAAGATATTTAAGAGAGAACAAATGAAAGAATGGTAAGATAGCAATGTGACTTGTTCAACTCTGAGATTCTTTTTTACCACAAGATTCATATTCTAAATACCAGGTTAAAATAGTGTCCTACCCACCCACCCACTGCCACCAAATAATAATAATTAATAATAATAATGCCCTAGAATCTGAGAATGTGACTATATTTGGAAATAGAAGCTTTGTAAAAGTAAATAATTAAGATTTGATCATACTGGCGTAGGGGGAGTTCTTAATGCATTATGACTGCTGTGCTTATAAGAGGATAATACACACCTACACACAGACACACGAGGGTGGAATACCACATAAGGACAGAGGCAAACCTTAGAGCCATCTCTAAGCCATGGAAAACCGATTACAAGGAACACCAGAAATCAGGAGAAAGGCATGGAACTGATTCTACCCCAGAGCCTTTGGAGAGGGTATGGCCTTGTCAAAACCTGGATTCAGATGCTTATCCTCCAGAACTGAGTGAACAGATTCCTGTTGTTTTGAGTCAACTGGTTTGTGGTAAGCTGTTACAGCAGCCTCAAGAAACTAGAACACTAGGTTAATTTTTTGTAGACTGACTATGAAATGTGTGTGCACAGATATCTCTCAGAATGACATGCTTGAGGAATTCATATCCAGGTGAGGTCAACTGTGGGAACTGAATTCTAAGCAGAAAGGAATAAAGTAAGGTTTTAGCTATAAAATTCTATTTGTTTATGGACACTGAAAATCTGGAGAAGAGCGGAGAATGGAAAAGAGGAGTACAAAATCAGGGTAGGAGCTATAACATAGTCAATTCATGGTCATCCTTGACTTGAAGCATCTTGAGAGGTATTTCATAAGCCTTTCCTTCACGTGGAACCCTGCACCAGATAACCACAATGTAGAATTACTCTTGTTTAAACTCTAAAAATTACATTTTCCTCTTC